TGTTACTTGTGACATTCAGCTGGCTGCAGTTCTCAAACTGATCAATATTTCATTTGTCCGTAAAGGGATATCAAAGGTGGACACAATGCACCACGCAAAGCAAGATGGAGAAGTTGTGTTTAGCTGCTCCGCCACAGGCAAACCAGCTCCCACCATAGAGTGGAACCTTTCAGATGGAGACACAATCGCAGAAGAACCACAGACAGTGACAGTAAAAAACAGCGACCACACGTTCAACACCAGCAGCAACATAACTGTGAAAGTACCTCCCGGTTTGCGTGGACACGCGGCGTGTGTGCTGAACCGTGGAAAAATTGGAGAGAGGGAAGAGAGGATCGCTTTCTCCTCCTCTGCATCGGCGGACGGGGACGACCAGAGAGGTATGCACGAGTCATTTTATGTAACCGCATTTACGTGTAACACTGGCGTAATGCTTGGAAACAAAATATTCCTAATAAATGAACACGCGCTGGGAGTTCATTCTAATGATCTAATTCAAGCGTAGGTGGAGTTTGCAGGGGAAAAGACTTCCATGAAACTATTACTAAATATCTAACTATCGGGAAGTGAAGAGTGAAATTATGAGACAGAGTTTTGAGTGACACCTTGGCTGTGGTTGTTTAGAAAATGATGCAGGTAGGAAGTCCCTGTGGCGATCTGGTCCCAGCTTCCTGGAACGTTCCCAGCAGAGTGCGCACTGACTGAAAGTGATGTCACTCCTCCGCCACAGCCTGACCGAGTGTGATATTTGGATGCAAATCTTGCTTATTCAGGTTTTGTGTTAAATTTGGTGCTAATCAAACTAAAACATAGCCTACTGTTTGTGATTAAGAGCTAACAGGAAAATTCAGACTCACTAAACTGCGTCATTTTTGTTTGTTTGTTTGTTTGTTTTTGACTGCAAGGTACCAGCATCAGTGTTCCTTTTTCAACACGTTCTCACTCCCAAAGCGTAACATTTTACGCTAGGTGACAAATCGTCAACATATTACGTTTTCGGCTACCCACCACGTTCCTAAATGACGACCTCGGAAAAATGAGGAAATATGAGAACCGTATGGACTCAATCTACACATGTTCGCTCTTTTCCTTCAAATCGCTTAGAAACACGCTATTTAACTTCATTAAAGTCCTGGTTAAGATCATGAAAAAGGTTATGGTTAGGGCTAGGGATAAGGTTAGGTTTAGGGCTGGAACGTCTATTACCGCGGGAGCGTCATTGCACTGCATTTCGCCCATAACCCGCCGCGTACCATAAGAACGCCGAAGGTCTCCTTTCGCGTTCCTCAGGAACGCCGCGGGACGTGACAAAACGTCGGCATGTTACGCCTCGGGAGTGAGAACGGGCTGTCCTTTTTTCACTTATCAGGAACGCAGGAATTCCCTGAAATTCCGAGTCATTTTAAATTCATTTCCTGATGACATGGGACAAACTGTGTGACAATGAAGCAGTCAAGGAGTGTCGCACTAGAAAAATGACAAACAAAAGTGACTAAGAGCAAACTGAGTGAATGCTATGCTGTGAGTCAGCTGATGCTTTCAGTACGGCGATGACGCCAGTTTCGCTTCTGGCGAATTAAAAAAAAAACCCACGTCACGATACAGTGAGCGGTGCTGCTGAGCTGTAGCTCTCTGGGGAGGTCATCTGACGGGTGATGGACATTAGTTGTTTGGCTTTAACAGTAAATGTGTGACCGTGT